AACCTTAACGATTCTATGATTTTATGATTCTATATTAGTGCTGTTACTCTTTTGAAAGTTCCCATTGCTTTGGGTGCTGAAGAATGAGAAAAATGAGATATGAAGTGGTTTATAGATTTGTGAGATGGTGGGAGAGTCCTGGCTCTTGCAAAAGCTAGGCTGGCTTACTGGTGAATGGTACCATCTCGCAGCTTTTCTTGTTTCTATTTTGAGAGCAATAACTAAGTCTGCTGAAGTGCCTTGGATAGCAGCTCTGTGCAGTCGCCGATCCTCTCTTCTGTCCTTTCTCTCCTCTGGTTTGATCTGTTCAGGGCTTTGTTTCCCTCTTGTGCACTTTGTACTTGAAGATCTAGGTTTTTTTCTGCTGTCTATGAGCTCTCTGTATGAGAAGGAGGGCTTCAGTCTCTTATGTGATACCATGGTGTCATGGGGTTTTCATGTTAACTGTAGTAGAGAATAGTGGAAATACCACAATGTCAATTAGTCCCTGGAAAATAGAGATTTTGTTGCAACTGCTACAACAGAGACAGATTAAATTTCCTGTGTTAAAAAATGGAGGGATTTTTTTTTTAAGTTAACACCTGAAGTTGTGATAACTACTATTTGCCCACCTGAAACATTTCCCTCTATGATTAGCTTAATGTATTTCCACATGCTAGAATGTTTCCTTTGGATGTGAAATGAAGGAGGCCCAAAAAATTTTATGTAGCAGCTTAAGGATTGTATTTATATGTCTCCAACAATGCTGTTTGTACTCCCTTCCTGAACAATAACTGACCACAGTGAATTTTAAGTAAGCTGGTTTTTTTATTGCATTTATACACTTCCCATAGAACTGAGCAGTATCTATTTCTGGCAAACACAAATATCGATGTGGTGGTTTTTTTTGGAATACAAATGCATGTGGTTTTTTTTGTTGCTGTTGTTTTTGTTGTAGACTTGCCCTCAGCAAACTTAAGCAATTACAACATCACCGTGGTGGAAGGAAAGAGCATCACATTGTACTGTGATACTACTGGAGGGCCGCCCCCTAATGTATCCTGGGTGCTCACTAATCTTGTTTCAAACCATGAGGTAAGTTTCATATTCAAATACATGGCAATTCAGAGACAAGACATCTGCCAAAGGATGAAATAAAGCCTTGTCTCTAATTAACTTTTTATAAAAAATATGAAATAGTAAATTAATGTTAGGATTACATTTATTTTCCAATTACTTTCAATCCATGGTGACTGCTGGAGTGCTTTTGGAAAATGGCAAACATTCATTCCTCGAGAAACTGATTTGCACTTAAGTTTTTGGATGTTCTTTTGTAAATGAGAGTAATGTAATTTCATGGAAGTAATGTAGTGAATCAGGATACTGAAGCTTAAGTACTTTCTTATTATCACAAATACCTGCATAGAGAGGACAAGTCCAATCTACTCTAATTGTGAGAAAAGCTTTGTCTCTCTAATTTTATTTTATTTTTTTAGGCCAAAAGCTTGGTGTGCTGGAACTTTGGTTGTAAATATTAATTACTTTGTGGTTTGTTTCATTTTCCTTTAACAAAACAAAATAACAAGAGAGTCATGAAAGTCAAAGTCAAGGTTTTACTATGGAAAAATTTTCTTACGAAGTATGAAAATGTTTCCTCAACCCATCCAGACAGTGGGAATTTTGTTTCCTGAGATCCTGGTATTCTGTGTACCTGCCTTAGACTGTGTGTGCAGTGGAGATATACTGATTAAGTTCTTTCTGATGGAGGTGTTGATAAGGAGAAGCATTTAAGCAGGTCTTCAACATGCAGCTGTTGACCTCCTAAATTGCCATTATTTACACTGTGCAAGACCCTCTGTTATTTACAATTTTATGGCATCGGCTCCCCTGCATTCATGAGAGTACAGACTGCCTAAATCTTTCTGGTCTGTACAAAGTGTGTGATGTGTACTTCTAAAACTGTTCCTGCAGTATGAAAGGGACAGGACATCTGGAGTCTCTTAACCTCTGCACTTTCTTCACTGAGATCATTACATTAGGCTTATGTAGAATTTGACTAGCCTGTCTTTCAGCTTTCATAAGAGCTTTGCAGAGCTCTAGTTTTATTTTTAAACTTTTCTCTAATGTGTAAAATTACCCAAATGCATCTGTTATCAACATGAACAAAAAATTAAAACAGTTTGAGGAATTTATGTAGTTGTGTTTTTTTTCTTTTTCTTTTTTTTTGAGTCATGAGCCAAGACAAATGTGGGATATTGTTCAACAAGTAAGATCACCTCATTTTTTAACCTTCCTGTCTTTCAAATGCCATGTTCAGTTTGCTTTGAGCTTTCCTGAAAAGCTTTTTTATCCTGACATAACTTTGTGAGAGGGGCTTATAATATAGCTGTAGAGCACAGTAGTCTTTTCAGTAGCAGAAGAATGAGTGCCTTTTAAAGCTCATTCGCCATTCACAACTTTCCTTTTCTGTGAGTGTTGGTTTTGGTTTCCTTTTTCTCACTTCCATATCTTTGTTTCTGCCTCCCTTTTCTTAACCTCCTATGCTGCTTCTGCCTGTTTTTCTTTCCTGTTTTACAAAGAGAAATGTTAGCAAAAGCGAAAACCAAACTTCAGTCCTGCATCATTAACCACATGCTCAGCTTTCATGCTGATGTATAAGTAAGTTGGTTAATGTCAGTTAGACTTTTCTTGCTATATGTTTCAGCCTGAGCCTGCAATTGAAGCCCTGTGCTTTGACTCCTGCTTTGAGGACTGCTCACCTCTGAGTTGCACATGGAGAAATGTGCATCGGGGTGTTGGCTTTTCCACTCCTCCTGCCCCAGTGTCACAGTGAAATCAATGGGACATTTGACTTAAGTGGAGTTAAGGTGTCATCTTGATATTTAAAATTCTGGTCCTGCAATCCTGTATGCAAGAGTGTTCCCACGTCCCCATTGTCTACCACTGAAAGTCACTGTGGTTTAACAGGTGCAGCATATCATTTGCTTGTGTTCTGTGCAGCATCAAAGCATATGTGTACAATAAGTATCCCAAAAGGCATTTTTTTAAACAATCATCCTAATTGTTGTTTATTTTCTAAATTTGTTTTGGTTCCTTTCCTTTTCAATAAAATAATCTTGCATTTTATGAAAAATTCAAGTATGGAAATAGTAATTATTTGGCTGTCATTTTAAGGACCTCATTTAAGATAACAGAGGCTTTAACAACTAGCTCTGCTAGCTGGTATTATTTTTTTAAAATCTTTGTAATTACTTTTTGCTTTGTTTTTGTAATTAATTTTTGTAATTTACTTTATGCAGTGTAGCATAGTTGCGTATTTAATATATAGCATTTAATGCACTGAACTTTCTGTAAATCATAATTCTTACCTCAATTAGCCTGTGCTCAAGCACAGTAAATGGGTGCAGAACAAAAATTTGTGTAGAGAGAAAGAGGTGTCAAAAGAAGGGAGAAACAGAAAATGACATGGAGGAAAAATGAATGAGTTTTTGGGGCTTTGAATCCACCGCTACTGATGGTTACAATTGGTTCTGTAGGTGTTTTGCATCTGTTTGGATAAGACACCAAAGTAATGCTTTGATTAATTACAGTTTGATACAGCTAAAAGGAAGGGAAAATGGAAAATGCTGTTGAACTGTGGCCAATGGTTCCCCCTCTCTCCATTGTTTCTTTATGCCATATTTGGCACATCCATATTTTTTGATCATTTGTAGAGTGACACAAGTAAGAATCCTGCCTCGCTAACCATAAAGAACGTTTCATCTGTGGACAGCGGACTGTGGATTTCTTGTGTAGCAGAGAATATTGTGGGAGAGGACCAAGCCTCTGCCGAGCTCACAGTATTCTGTACGTAAGCAGGCTAAACCACATTGGCAATAACTATTTTGGGTATAAATATTTGTTGGGCACACGGGTTGTTGTAACAGAAACACCCTTTAAGCATGTGAACTATCTATTGCAGTTAATTCTGGGAATAGCCCAATGAGCAGTTGTTATTTTTACCTTTTTCTGCTCTGAGTTCTTCTGCAAAAATTATGTTTCTAAATGCTTTATCTTCCAGTCTGAGCAATCTGTAAGTAAATGTCTGAAACCCCAAATACTCAGTGGTACTGTCAGTGTGAACGGATTTGTAATGATGTGCATATACATACACACTATCTTAATTCCTAAGAAACATGAATGCGTCAAAAGTCATAGAAATTATTTATAATAAACTACAAATTTTAAAGTTTTTTTTTACTAAACCAACAATTGCTTTGTTCAAAAATTAATACACTTGCATCATTTGTTCTGCCAGATACAAATTTATTTGTCATAGCTTTGAATAATTATTTGTCAGGGCCAAGGAAGGGGGAAGGGACATGTAGTATAGAAGCATTGGCTTCTTAGATCTGAGATTCCAGCCTGAATTCATTTTATGTGAAATATGTTTTCGCAAGTTGCAACCCTCACTTTAATTGAAGATGGGAATGGAACACTTTGTAGATGGAAATTTTTTTTCAGCATGTGCTCATGACAGTAAACTTGAGAAATCACTCTAGAAGCACTTAAAATGTTTTGTAGGTGGAAATTAGATATGTAATAGCTATGGAAAGGGACATAAACTAGAAATGCTTGAACAGTGTAAATGAGATTGTGAGATTGGCACTGTTATGAGTGATAAAAGGGAGTATAACTAGATAAAATTGGATGCAGTTTAGAATGAATATCAAGGAAAACTTCCTAACAGCAAAATAATGTGCAAGGTGTTGGAATAGTCTCCTGAGGGAAACAGAAGTCTGTAAACTTGAGGCATTTAGCATGTTTGAACAAAGAATGAGAAAATGTATAGTAGAAAATGTTCCTTCCCTGACAGAAGAATCCAGGGAATGAAATCACCTGTTCTGGCTTTGATTTTTTTAAAGAAGTCACCTGAAAGTTTGGATTCCTAGCTGAATATATTTCCAGTACTACTTGCTTTTGGCTAACTTTTAAATATTTGTAATACTGTTTTGTTCCTTCAGCACTCCTCTGTGCCATTTTTTCAGCACAGTAAAGCTAAAATTTCCCTATCTCCCTTCTCAGTGATCTGGTAACTTTCCACACCTTGCAGAGTAAGTGATTTAATGAGGGTTCACACTTTGAAACTAGGTTGTTTTGTTTCTTTCTAAAGAATGGCTTCATTTCAGTTGTGAGCACAGTACCCAAGGCAGAGCAGGTGGGCTTCCTGTGTGAGTATCCTCCAAATAATAGGTATAATTCCTTCAAGTAGAATCATAGAATCATAGCATGCTTTGGGATGGAAGGGACCTTTAAAGGCCATCTAGTCCACCCCCCCTGCAATTGGCAGGGACATCTACAACTAGATCAGGTTGCTCAGAGCCCCATCCAACCTGTCCTTGAATGTTTCCAAGGATGGGCATTTCCAATGTAGTTGCACCAAATATCACGTTTATTGAATCTCCAACCCCGGACCACCACTGGTGTATTCCATTCACTGTGAAAGGGAACCCTAAGCCCACATTGCAGTGGTTCTATGAAGGGGCTATACTGAATGAGTCAGAATACATCTGTACTAAAATACATGTTATCAATCAAAGTGAATACCACGGCTGCCTTCAGCTTGACAACCCTACCCATCTGAACAATGGTGCTTATACCTTACTAGCAAAGAACGAGTACGGAGAGGATGAAAAATGGGTTAATGCTCATTTCATGTCAGTGCCTGGAGATGGTGAGTATAATTTTTTTTGTGTTAGCAATTGCAAATTGACAAGAATGTGGAGACAGTGCTCCTGGCCAGACTACCTATTTTGGAGGAAGCTTTTTATATGCATGTTTTTTTCTCTGAATGAATGTCTTCAAGATTAGTTGTAAAACAATAATTTTTTTTAACATTTTCTTCTTGTTTATTGCTTTTCAAGGGAGGCCATGCTAGTGCTCTCTAAATCTTCCCTTTGAGTAACCATCCTCAGTGCCAGTTAAGGCTAGTAAAAGATTGCTCTTTCTGAAGTGTTTTCTTTAGCCTCAGTTCTGATCCTGGAAAGCACTGAGTACCAATTCAGTCACTCTGCAAGTTTTCTACACTGTGTACAAGTGCAACTAGGCAGTGTATCCAAGGGCACAGGGAGTATGCCTACATAGCATCTAGTGCATTGATGCAGAATCAGTAATGCAGTCCAGTGAGTTGATGATAATATATTGTGTAGGACACTAGAAGGAGCTGGATAGAAAACAAGTAACCCAGAGGCAGGATGGACCAGCTCTCAGGTCCTCACAGGCGTTTAGACATCCAATTCCCATTCATTTCGATGGAGGTTGGGCATCTGCATGCCTAGGAATATCTGTGCTCAAGATGGTTATCTTCAAATCTATGCATCTTATGCTGCTCTAAAGGCTCCAGATCAGACCTCCTAAATGCTATGTGAGCAGTCTCAAGTTGGACTAATTTACTGAACTGCAGGGACTACTGTAAGTATTTAATGTACATTGTGGTTTGATCTTTTCCCACATCTTCAAAACCATATTTGAAGTGACTGTAAGAATGTGAAGGCGTACATGTAAGTGCATTGTGGTATGTGAAAAAAATGAGTGGACCTTGAGTGGAAATATAGGTGTGGTTTTGTGCAAATAATTGCAGAATCATATCTGAAAATATGAGCATGTGTATACTTTTATCTTTTTAGCCATGGGATAGAAATAGCCTCCCTCTTTTTTGAAACAGCAATATGCAGTGCTAATGTTATGTGATAGAAAAAAATGTGAATATTTAAAATCCCTGTCCTACATTGTAGGCTACAGACAGTAAAAAGATGGTCTGTATTTAACATTTGTTCCTATCAGCTCAGCCTGCTACAGGGAGAGAGATGGCAAGTCTTTTTCTTTCCCACCCTTAGAAAGAGAAGGTGAAGAGCTGATATATTTGGGCTCTGTTTTCTCCTGCTGTTCTTAGTAGCTCCTCTCTTCTTTTTTCTCTACAGTCCTTCCTTAAATAGACTCATTACAGAAAAAGGTCATGTTTTCAGCTACTGACATTCTTTAATGCTACATTATAACAGTTCAGTAAAACAGTTCACCTCATAGATATTCTGTATACAATGGAAGTTCTCTTACACTCTGATTATTTAATATGAATTTGGCTTCATTTTCTTAACAGAATAACAGTTCCTCTAATACATTTATATGAATTTATCGTTTTTTTCTTTTAATGTTCCATTTTTCTTTTATCCTTGTCCTCTGTAAGCTGAAAATTTCCCAGTTGTGGCCTTTTAAATTAAAGGTATCCTCCCAATTAGAAAGACAGCATTATTTATTTGTTCCTTCATTTTTATAAACATATGCATTATAAGTTTCCAAGATAATCTACGTTGTGTTCAAACTGGGCTACATACAGACAGGATGTAACTGCATTAGAAATCAATTTGTGTGTAGGGGATGGCACCAAACCAGTCTTAAAAATTAACAGCAGGGGAAGACTTATCTAGTTAGCCTCCTCAATGCTGTTTTTATTAGTGGGGCTTTTTCCTGTAAGACTTATGGTACTGAGCTTTATAATATTCTACAACATTGTTGTCTCCTCTATTGAAGGTGGCATAAAAATAAATGTTAAAAAACTAGCATCCTCTATGCATCGTATTACTTTTTTTTCTTTTTTTTACTATTACTATTTAAAGCACTGCCAGGATTTTTCAGGCTTTTTTCAGATCTTTCAGGCTTTTTCAGTGCTGTCGTTACTGTGTGGTATCTCCTTTTGGCCCACATATCATACAGTGAAGCATAAAGATTAGGCCCATGCTCTGGTATTATGTTCATTTCCATGCCTTCATGACTGAATTAAATACCAGCCCTGATGTTTCATGGGGTGGGGTATCCTGACTGAGCTTTGAACTGATTCTCTGGTTATTAAATCACTTACAGGCAAATGCACTGAAGATAAAAATAAAAGCAAATTAAAAAAACCTTCACCTATAAACTATATGTCTATTTAAAATAAATACGACAAAAATCCGAAGCATGTTGTATCATAAACAGCCTAATACTCTACTTTCAAGCATGATGAAGACAGGATTTGTGCTAAGATGCTCTCAGCTTCCAGCATGCTACTTACAGAACATTTTTCAAGGGATGGAGAATGCAAGCATAAAGGAGAGGAAAGCATGTACCACAGTGGGAATATAATATAATAATTAATAATTATTATATAAATTAATTACATTAAAAATAAAAATTAATTTAATTTTTAAAATTTCACATTCTGTTAGCTAGATTTTTAACTAGTTTTAATCTGCTAATCTTCATGGATTCCAGTGAAGCTGTTCTTGCTAAGGATAATTTGACTGTTTGAGACTACGTTGCAGCAAACGCTAAGCAATAAACCGCTGTGTTTTGTTCCAGAGGCTGTTTCCATAATTGATCTATAACAGCTAATGAGTGCTGGAGAGATTTTTACCAATAATAACTCTTCTAAGTAAAATCATTCATCTACAAGCCCTCTACTCTAAAATTCAGCTGAAGGAATTCAAGTCATGTAGTATCTTGTCATAGTATAATGTTAGATATGCATAGTAGTATCCTGCTGGTTTGGCATAATAACACTTGACTATGTTGCACAAGTATTTTTTTGGGTTGAGTCTTTTGCTGCTGCTTTATTGTGAAAATGTCAACTTTATAAAGAAAGAAGCAAGCAAACCAAATGTAGTTGAGGCAGTTTATAAAGATGAGTGAATAGGATATGTCTGTAATATTTTATTTGCACAACAACCTGTTCTAACAGGGACCAAAACAACAATGCTGTTCTTTGCATTAAAAATAATTGCATGTAAACATGCAAAATTACTGTGGTAAAGTTTCATGTTAAAATAGATTCAACCAATGTTTTGATGATGTTTTTATGTAGGGAATACTACATAGAAATTTGGGGTTGGTCCGACTTCTTGATTTTTTCAACTTTATTTCAAGTGAAGTATTTAGTTATATAAAAGGCATTTGAATGGAATAGATGACTTCCTGGTTTATATGTCCCTAGCAGGAATTACAGGTTAAACCAATTTGATTATTTTATCCCATTTCCATTAAACAGTAATAAAAATGTTGTCATTTAAGTCAGGAGTAAAGGCCTAGGAAGTTTGGGGTTTTTTTTTCTTCAGATTATGAGAAGTAGGACTCATACAGAAGGTAAACTGGTTCTTTCATCAGCTGAATGTTTTATATTGGAAAAACTGAATCCATGCAGGTTTATGGACAAAAAACCCTGGTCAGAACTTGCTTGAGGACAGATAGTGGTACACACTATTTCACTTGTTATTTATTTCTGCAGATTGACATGACCATTCTCATGGGGTCTCTTAATCTATATCTCTGGGTACTAGAATATCTTCAAATGCATTTAAAAATGAACCTAATTATCTGCTGCCATTTTGCAAATAGGTTGCAACTCTTATTTTATATTTTCAGCACAGATTCTCATGCTGTTGAAATAAGCAGAAACAACTGTGTTCCGGTCATACTTCACAGTGGTTTTATGCCAGTGTAATGTCAGTGGTATGGAATTACTGTATGGTACTATAAACAGAATTATGCTTTTTGAAGTTTGAGTCATCTTTAGAGGTTTTAACTATCTATTAATTTTATTACCAAACCAACAACAAAAAAGAGTAAATATGCTACATAAGGCATGCTATAAATACATTATAGACCAGGATGAACGGGCATGTTGAAATATAACACAAGTATCTTTCAAAGCATGAATAGACTAACAGTATACTAACTTCAGTGTGTGTTATACTCACATGTGTGCTTAGCCTTACATATGTGCAGTAATTGGAAAAAGCTGCAAACTGGAACTAGTAAAATTTAGAAAAGTATATACTAGACAGGTATCCAATTTGCTTGTGTAAAGGCTGGCTTCTCTAGTTTCTTTGCATATGGGAAATATTATTCTTTCAATAAGAGTTCTGTCTGTGGATCAGGTGTGCAGCTGGCTTCTTGGGAGCATCCTCTAACAGCATCCTCTAGCCTTTAATTTGCCACAATGCTGCAGCTCTAAACCAGTTTGCTCTCTCAGTGATTTAACTGCAAATTTTTTGACTAGCTAAAAGTCAGTTATTGTAACACCCACTGAAGTCTGCTTCCACTTAATGTCAGGGAGAATTTTACCATTGATTTTCAACAAGAATAGTTACTGTTGGACTTATTCCAGATATACATTAGCAGCAGAGAGCAGAATTTTGCCCATTTGCTAAATATGCCTGCTTTTACTAGAGCAAATGCCCTGTGTATTATCTGTTTCACATAAAGCAAAGCATTAACGTTTCGGATAGCTCTAAAATAATTGTAAATTATAGTACAATATATTGATGTTGCTTTGCATTTGTGTAGGTACTGACCATTGCTATTGCAAATAACATGTAAGCTCTTAAAAAAAATCCTAAAGAAACTCTTATTCTTCCAGCATTTGCAATCTATTTACAAAGGCTTTTTCTTTCTGTTTTTGTTTTGTTTTGTTTTGTTTTTTTCTCCATGCACAGGTAGTGGCCCAATTGTGGATCCAGATGATTATGGTATATATTTGATTTTCTTTTCTTTTAATGATAGAAATAAAGGAATTCAAACCACTAAAAGATTGAATGTCAGGCTCAGTTAAACTGAAATGGCACATATTATAACACAATTCTAAAAGGCACTTTGTATTGTTGGTTCTTTTCCTGACTTATATTATTTAAGATAAATGAGGGCAATTTTTACTTACGCTGCTGCTTTTGATTCAGATTAGCATAAATCCACTGCTACTGATGGTTACAACTGGTATTGTAGGGTGACAACTGTCTGATGTAGCACACAGGCATGAGATTTTGTGAACCTTCCAGAGGCATTTCTTGGAGGAAAGAGAGTTCATGATTTCTCCTTATATAACTTATTTTTTCAGGGATGATTCCATACTTGTTTTGCCTCCAAAAATGTACCCCTAAATTCCCCTTAAAAATTAGTTTGGCACAAGTGAGTTTTCCTGTAGGTAATTTTTCTCTGTCCTCTCATTTGTACCTTCCTTTATTCTCTCTTGCATAAGCAGAACATCAACTCAGTGATATCTGAGAGAAAATTTGATGACACAGTGTTCAAGTTATTTTTTAGTTAAGAAAAATATTTTAGACTATACCTATTGAAAGCCAATATGCATTATAATAGAAGCTGCAAACTGAAAAACAACTGGCTAGTTTTACATAATAGTTCTGCTATACTTCTGCTGAGCATGAAAGTACATCCTAACCAACACATCCAAAACACCCTTTAGCTTCCAGCAGAAGCTGGATCCTGTTTGGAGTACTTTTATTTGGACAAAATGGCCCATGAATCAAGTTTCCTTAAGCTGATTTAAATGTTATTACTCTGATTCCCTGTCATTAAACTTTAGCAAATGTGCATTTGAAGCATCAATTTGGGTTTAAGTGCTTAGAAATACTAAAACATAGCTTCCCCTCCCTCTCTTCCCAATTTTTTTTTCAGGGGGAGGAAGAGGTGATGGCTTGCACAGTTTCCTACATGTGTTGTGTTATATATGTTGTATACATGAAGATTTTGAGTCTGAGCTGTTTATCAAGGTCCTGATGTATGTGTATGAGTACTGTAATTCAGTTGACTGGTAGATTTGGTTAAAATGTGTGCTTTGAGTTGTGCAAGTGAATCACAACCTGCAAGATCTAGTTCTGATGAAAACAATATTCCTTTTTATTTCTGGCTTTTCTTTCTACTTTTTGAAATTGCTGCCTTTGATCTTTGTTTCAGTGACTTAGTGCTTGCTTTGTGCAATACTTTGTAATCTGGAGTGTTTCCTTAATTATTTCAAATTCACAAGTCCAGTTGGTGAGATGAATAAATAAGGCTAAAAAGTCTAGAAACTGTTATACTTGGGAAAACCACTGCATGGTTGATTGTGGAACCACCTGGGAATTAGCTCCTCCTAGAGAGTGAGCATTTTTGACGACTTCTTTTCAGACCCTTCAATCTGTATGCTAATCTATTTACCCCAAGTTTAGATTATGCTGGAAGCAAGATTTAAAGGTCTCCTTCCTTACCTCCCTCCTCCTGCTGTTCTCCCCTTTAAAACATATTTTTCAGACTCCTATGCTAATCATGCTGCAAATTTGCACCATGTAAAGGGTAAAGACAGCTGCAGAGGGTTTGATCCTGCAGCATGCTACACGATATCTATGTGTTTGTAAGTGGCTTGGATCCTGGCAAAGTCAGGGTGCTTGGACAGTTCCCTAGTGCTTTAACAAACTCAGGGGGGTTCATCTTAGAATCATAGAATGGTTTGGGTTGGAAGGAACCTTAAAAATCATCTAGTTCCAACCCCTCTGACATGGGCAGGGATACCTTCCACTAGACCACGTTGCTCAAAGCCCCATCCAACCTGGCCTTGAACACTTCCAGAGAGGGGGCATCCACAACTTCTCTGAGCAACCTGTTCCAGTGTCTCACCACCCTCACAGTAAAGAATTTCTTTCTTATGTCCAATCTAAATATACCCTCTTTCAGTTTAAAACCATTGCCCCTTGTCCTGTCACTACAGGCCTTGGTAAAAAGTCTATCCCCATCTTTCTTATAAGCCCCCTTTAAGTACTGGAAGGCTGCAATAAGGTCTCTCCGGAGCCTTCTCTTCTCCAGGCTGAACAACCCCAACTCTCTTAGCTTGTCTTCATAGGAGAGGTGCTCCAGCCCCCTGATCATCTTCGTGGCCCTACTCTGGACCCACTCAAGCAGGTTCATGTTTTTCTTATGCTGGGGGCCCCAGAGCTGAACGCGGTACTGCAGGTGGGGTCTCAGGAGAGCAGAGTAGAGGGGGAGAATCACCTCCCTCAATCTGCTGGTCACACTTCTTTTGATGCAGCCCAGGATATGGTTGGCTTTCTGGGCTGCAAGCGCACATTGCTGGGTCATGTTGAGCTTCTCATCAACCAACACCCCCAAGTCCTTCTCCTCAGGGCTGCTCTCAATCCATTCTCCGCCCAGCCTGTATCCATGTTGGGGATTGCCCTAACCCAGGTGCAGGACCTTGCACTTGGCCTTGTTGAACTTCATGAGGTTCACACAGGCCTACCTCTCAAGCCCGTCAAGGTCCCTCTGGATGGCATCCCTTCCCTCAAGCAAATCAACTGCACCACTCAGCTTGGTGAGGGTGCACTCAATCCCACTGTCCATGTCCCTGACAAAGATGTTAAACAGCGCAGGTCCCAATACTGACCCCTGAGGAACGCCACTCGTCACTGATCTACACTTGGACATTGAGCCGTTGACTGCAACTCTTCGAGTGCAACCATCCAGCCAATTCCTTATCCATCGAGTGGTCCACCCGTCAAATCCATGTCTCTCCATTTTAGTGACATCTTCAAATGAAGTCTTTATCTCATATTCTTATATCATATTGGCTCCACAGCTGCTGTGCTTGTGGTTGGCTACTGAACAATATTTTTGTTTTCTCAAAATCTTTGAGTTTCATTGTAATGCTTCATTTGGTAATGAAGCATTTGTAAACATATATTTGTTGGTTGTTTTAACATTACATTTTTGTTCTGTGCTCTTTCAAGCAGAACTTGTATATTGGTATACATTCCAAAATTACATAATCAAAGGGTAAAAAAGGGGAAAAGAGGATGTAGCATGCCTGCGTGGCAGATGTTGTTGTATCTTATTTGTTTTGTTAAATTTGGGGCTCACAGAAAAGGTAGAGTTTTTGAATGACTTTGTGATTGGGGGTATTGGCACAGAAAATAAGGGAGGCAGAATTTGTCTTTTGTATAAAGCTCTGATTAGTGGTTCTTCACACTGACTTCTCTCAGAAGAATTTCTAAGGCCTGGAGTTGTGCTGCTGTGTTAAAAATGTAAGAGAAGTGGTTGTCTTGTGCAGTCTTTGCTAATACGTGGGACTGCACAGATCCCGCAAGAGCTTTAGGAGGGACAGAGTTGCGGGGGGACAAACAGAGGCTGCTCTCCTGGAGCTCAGAGCAGGGTCAGAAGTAGCCTGAAGCACCAGCCCAGGAATTGCAACATCAGCCTTGAAATCCTCAGCCTTTTCTGGTGTATTTTGTTATTTCAGCACATGAGAAATGAAGTGAACAAATCCCAGTGCTGCAAACAAGGTTATGCCCCTTAGGTATGTTTTGTTAGTAATTAAGTTGGTGTAACAACTTTCTTTGCAGCCCAGGAAATATTGTTTGCTGGAATTTTCTTTCGTAACTGCTCGCTGAGCACTCTGATGGAAAGACTAGCTAGTTGCAGAGCACTCCTGTTGCCATATGCCCTGCATGGGTTTGTTGCTTCTGAAGTCCCAGTTTCTTCATATGCCATATCCAGTCTGTGCCAAAAAGCCAATGGGAGTGTGTACTTAGCTGTAACTTCTATATTTTGTAGTTGTCTTTGCCCCCTGGACTGCAGAAATGTAAGAGTGAATATGCTCTAGCTTAGGAGATGTGTAAAAAAAGGAAGTCACAGCATTTTTAACGGCATATTCTGCTCTCAGTTCTGTTGGTGCTTTCTTGAAATTAGTCTGCTGCCTTTAAAAAATTTCTTCTGAAGTACAGATCAGGCCATTCTTGAACCTCTCCATCTCAGGTGAACAGTTTATTTTAGGTTGTGGATGAAGTGGGTGCTTATTAGATTTTTGAAGGAGAACAAAGTCAAATCCCTACATACCTGTTCACTGAGATGATGTAAGAAATTGCTGATCTTTTTGAACAAGTTGGTTTGCTTCTGGGCAGAAGAAAAGAAAAAAGGACTTGGGACAGAATCAAACATTATAAATATGTAACAGGAATCATGGGAATTAATTTGATGAGGTAGGGAAATAGCACTTATTGGCAAAACATCTGGCTGATGCAAAGTAGGTGCAAATACATTTATATTGTTAATATTGGAATTAAACAATGGACATTCAGTGTCATGGGAGTAGAAGCAGAGGAAATGGTTACTAGGAGTAAGCCAGACATGGGAAAAATGGATGTTGTGAAGGTTGAACTGATTAATATTTGAGGTATGGAGGCAATGTGTGATGGGGCCCAAGTGTAGAGAGATAGGATATAAAACTGAGAAAGGGGCTTGGGAAAGAG